GCTGAGCTTCCTCCAGCACTGGCTGGTGCAAAGCACTGCCCATGAATGAATGGCAGAATAAAGTATGAAATATTATACATTTAAAACTAAATTAGCAACAAAAAAACCCTACTGTTGAACTTAATTTAAGAGAAACAAGCTTTACTCTGCTATTTGAGCTGGTCTTTAGCACCAAAGGAAGGCACAAAATACTGCCTATAAAAAAACACCCTTAAGGAAGAAAAGCTCAGGAGCAGCTCTTCAATGCACCAACTTTTTTTGTTTGAGGGATAAAAAGTCCTTCAACCACGCAAATAAATTAAAAAATGGAAGCTTAAAAGTTAGTAATAAAAGTGATGTAAATAATGAAGCCATATGATATATATTATATATACACTCCTATATCTAGGAATATAAAGAGCAGGTCTATTGCTCTTAGCATCAAACTTTGGATTATAAGATATTAATCAATCACAGCATTCCTATCCCATCCTAAAGGTTCACAAAATCAAGGGATCTGATAGTATGACCTCAAAATCCAAACTGACAAAATATTTTGGGTTATGTAACTGCAAAAAAGCTTGAGTATAGAAGATGTAGAGTGTTAAAACGCATCTAACCTATGGAACAGCACATGGTTTCATAATTTCCTATTTAAATTTCCAATTTCCTGAGAGAAAGGCACCTTTCCTGTAAGGAAGAATTCTTCCTCACACCATGGTATTGTCCAACTTGCCAACCAAAATTCCTGAGGGACGAGGGTAGAGAGGGTTAATTTATATAAACTGTTAATATTTGTGACAAAATACTCATTTTTAGCAGGCTAAAAATGTACTGGGAGAGTTTCACCATGCTAAAATGCAAAGAACCATGGAATGGTTTGAGTGGGAAGGGGTCTTAAAGCTCATCCCAATCATTCAGCTATTTATATCAACTATGTTATTTATAATATCATTCCAATATTTAAAAAATACAGTTTCAATGGAGAATAAGGGGGAGGTACAAGGAGTAACTAAACACAGAGTAAAACATCACAAGGACTTGAAAACCAAATGAAAAATCCCCCAGTCCCTAACAGAGTTTGTCAGTCTCAGCTTGTTTGCCCCTGAAGTGCCATTCCCATCTCCTTCAATTACACACTGGTTTTCCTTAACTCAGACCTGCATCAGCATCATCCATATTTCAATTCAACTAAACCAAGGGTTTACAAAAAATGAGTCTTCATGCCCACTTCCCAAAATTAGAGCTGCAGTTCAGCTTCTCAAAATTCAGCAGTATGAATCTAGAAAAGTAAAAGGACGCCAACAATAGAGAAGACTTTATCCTGCAAAGCTGTTTGGAAATTGTTTATTCTCAATTGACACTTTATTTACATACACTATTCAGCAGTTATGAAAGGAACTTCAGCCCATATTTCACTTCCACTAAAATTCACCACTTTTGTGTCAAACTCTCCCTAACAATAGCACTTTGTGCTTCTTAAATATTGGGGAAAAGCCATCCACTATGGCATTTTATACAGAATATATCCCATGCTGGCTTAGTCATGTGTAAATCAATTTTTCTGCCAACTAAAATATTGAAACAGGATCTAAGATAAAGAATAAAACTGAAATTTCTATCTCATTCATTTAATTTTAGTGAAATGCTCATGAAACCATTCCAGCCAATTAGGGTGTGCAGAAATATTAGAAATAGAAATATTTCTTTGTTAATCTCAACTCTTATGAGTGTAGTAAGTGCATAATGTATATATACAATATATACACACCCATTTTAAGTCTCTAATGTAACACTTGTATCACTATACCAGATGCAGCCTCAACAACAATGGTTTCATTTTAAAACCTGCACTCCCAGGGATGCTCTGAGGAGCCACAGAAAGTGGAACTGTTTCTGGCAGGGTTAACCTGCTCAGGTGGCATTAGGATAAACATCTGGGAAGAAAAGGTTTCTGAAACTCACAGAAAGAATTTCCATCCAGAGGAAAAAAAAAAAAAAACAATGTTTGGGGAGGATTTGAAATTTCAGTTCGAGAAATAAAAGTTGCAGTGCTTTAAAAAATAGCCTGAAAGGACTTTGAACATGAAATCATAGAAGGAATATTGATCATTTAAAACAACAGATGACATTTTTAGGAATTTTTATTTGACAATCAGGCCAATGCCATTAAATTTTGGATACCTACAGGTGAATTCCCACTTTGCTGTGACCCCAGGACACACAAACGCAGGCAGGGCCAGTACAGTGAGCACCAAACGGCCCCACCACCATCTGGAGGGCTAATGAACAATCAAGGGATCCCAAATTAAACAACACAACTTTCCCTTCGAATCTTTAGGACAACACTGTCAAGTCCAATCTATTCCCTCAGCCTCCAGAATCAATTTTTCAAACTTTATGACAGGTCTAATAGTTCCCACCTGTTCCTCCTGCCTGACTTTTGACTGGCACGTTCCCAGCCAGGGTGGAAATGCAGACAAAGGCCCCCATTAGGCTCCGGCTGTTTCTCCACTGTGAGCTTGCTCAGCCATTAAATTAATTCCAGCCCCCTTTTCCCCCTTCCATCTCTTCTTTTTTTTTTTTTTGGGGGGGGGTTTATGGAAATTTGGGGAGGTGGAAAAGGGAGACAAAAGTTTGGCACCCACTTGGTGGGAGAGGGACGAGAAAATCCGAAGCGGCGGAAGTAAAATGCTGAATTATTTCGATGATCTAATTAAACTGTTTACAACAAATCTCATTCATTAAGTTCTTGAGGTATCTGTATTTAAGCATCAAAACTTGGTAAAATTTGAGGCAAATTTGGGAGACCCTAACAGAGTCCCTCATGCGATGCCTGATTACATACATATCTTGCTTTCCTAAAGCCCCCTCTGAATATTTTCTGTCTAAACTCTTGGATAAAATATCTTTAAATAAAGAAAGTGTTGTAATGGTTTTTTGGGAATCCTGAAGGATCAATAAGTAACTATTTGTTCTTCAAGCAAAGAAATTTATTTTTCCTGAGATGTGTTTTGCTTTCATTCAGAACTGGCAATTACACACAAACACCACACACATATCTTAATAAATTCATATTGGTTCCTGTGGAAGCACCTTAAAAACATGACAACTTTTTCCTTCAACAAAAATTACCTGATTTTTGCATCAATTTCTAGGGATTTATGAAATGTTATCATTTCAATCTCAAGGTTTTTCAATGAACTGCAAATCACAAGGTTTACATTATTTCATTACCCATGACAAGAGAGTATTTACATCATCAACCATAATACCTAAGACAGTTCTTTTAACTTAATAAAAGAAAGGTCCTTTTGTAAGATAAAGTGCAGATAGATTATTAATAAATTAATAATTCAAATTATTATCTGCCTAGGACCACCTTCATAGCATAAGCTATGTAGAGTCAGGACTTGTAGTTCACAACTTACCTGAAAATTAACTATTTAAGCCTCATAATGGTGGGGGAAATCTTGAAGATCTATACCTGTGAGCACTTCATTGTATTTGGATTACTCAATATAAAAAACCAACCTTTAAACATATCTGAAAAATCAAGACCACTTCTCTTATCTCCCTTGCCTTGATGATTAATCATGCATAAATTGGTCAGATTTTATTTAGCTTGACGCAAATCAAATCCCAAAACTCTGAATTAAAACACTTCATTTTACTGAGATGTTGGAACAAAGTTACTGAGAACCGAAACAAACTGAGGGAAGAAACCTCTTGATTTGTTAAATTATCACCAATTTCTTCACAGTCCTCCTTTCAACCCTGTGGGCTGAACATGCTGTGAGCACTAAAAATGAAGAAATAAATGCTACAAATAATTGTATTTCTATGAAATAACTCTTCATGGCCTCTTAACAAACTGGCAAATCTCTATCTCTGCAAAAGCCACTGCAAAATCAGCTGCAGGATTAAATCTGGGGGAGAGGATTGGCAAAATCAGACAGCAACTTTTTTTTTAACGTGTGGATGTTTGAACACACAGGGAATGGTTTGGAAATTAAATTTGTATTTGCTCCTAAATTGCAATTTAGGCTATCAGGCCGAGAACTGAAGCCATTATTGTTGGTTAACTCATTAGTGACAACAACACTCAAGACAATTCAATCTTGATTAAAGAAAAAAAAAAATCCCAAACAAAATTCCTGAGATTGTTTTTCACCTGTAAAATTAATCTGTAATTTCTGCAGATAAATTAACCCCGATAATTCAAAACTAGCTGCCACCAGAATTTACAGCTGCAGGCTTGGAGTTTCTGTCCTGAAGAGCAACAACTTCCCCACGACAGATTTTTCCACCAAATTTCCACTAAACACAACAGTACAGCCTTTGTACACAGACTCCAGGCTGAGATTTAGTAACTGTGATTTTCCTATCACTTAATCCCATTTAAACTCTAATGAAGAGCCTCCTCTAAGGTATCCCACAGCTCATTCACAAGGGTCATCTGTGTGATGATGAAAGAACCCCTAGCAGAGCACTAATCCACGTTTTAAAAACCCAAACCGAGCACTAAAGAGCATTTTAGGGAAAAATTCAGCAAAATGAATGAGAGAAAACAGGAATGTTAAAATTAGAGGCACAACCTGCTTGGTATCAGTCTTTCAAATAAAAGGCTGAGATAATAATTTGCACTAGGGAATGTATTTAATCTCCTAAATATGAATATTTATTAAATTAAATTTTCTCACAGTGATGTTCAGAGGAATAAAGATTAAACTCCACTACCAAGCAAAAAGTTGAGTCCAACTCAGCTTTCCCCACCCCTTATGGCTCAGTATTTTAGATATTATCAATTAATATCCCATGAACATTAAGTTCTCCACTTCACGTCCAGTTCCTCTCTGAGCATTGTGTGCTACCACAACTATGAATCACAGAATCCCAGAATAATGAGGTTGGAAGAGACCTCTAAGGTCATCAAGTCCAACCCATGCCCTAACACCACAACCAGACCATAGCACCAAGTGAACTCCCAGTCAGAAAGTTAATTCAGATCCCCATCTTACCCATCCAGAAGATTCATGGTTGTCATGGTCACCTCAGTGAAAAGAAGGATCTTGCCCAGCTTCTTGGTCTGGAGATGCTGCTGATAGGTCTGGAGGCTGAAATGCTCTGAGGAGAACCTCCCCATCTCCGTGATCACCGGCACCAGGGACGGAGTCACCTCCACCTTGGACTCGGGGGACGAAACAAACTTCAGGGACACCTTGCTGGATGCCCTCAGTCCCTCAGCATCCACGTTCCCCTCCAGCCATTTCAGGAAAGCAAGGTGGATTTCCTGCAGGCAAGGGCAACAAGGTGAGCAAGATCGCCCCACGTAAGGACACACCAGCATTCTTCCAAAAAACATTTTTAGTCAAGCAACCTCCTACTTCAAAACAAAGGGATTTTCCCTCTTCAAAAACTAAGCTGTGCTGCTCGTTCTAGTCCAGCCTGGCTTGATTACTTGACACTGTCCTAGAGTTGAGACCACACCTTTGAAGATTAATTAAGCTTAATTTTTCTCTGTAGCAGGGTTTGTAGTGGTCTTCCTACTTCATCTGCATCTTGCAGGTTTCTCAACATGCTGAGATCCTCTGCTGGAAGAAGCCCTTTAGTCCAGCACTGAGTGTTGGATTAAGCCTTTTTCTGACCCAGACATGGGGACCCAGAAAGGTGTTTTAAAAACTTTTATTCCATTTTCAGTCTCATGCGAAGGGTGAAACAATACAGATGTTATAATTAACAACATCACAATCAGAAGCCAATTATTTCCTAATTACAATACACTCTAAGTGTTTATTGGCCTATCAGCTTTAGCCACCCCATGCTGTCAATGCCTTAAAGCCAATTATCTAAAATTACCCCTCGTGGATCCCACTGCAATGCATCTTTCATAGTTCTGCTTCTCCAAAGAATCCAGTCTTATTTACAAGGCCATCCTTTGAAACTTGTATTTCTCTCTCAACAATGTCTGTTCAATTCCATGGCATTTCTAAGGCAGCATTTCTGATCTCAGGGTTTGCACACAGGTGCTCACTGTGTGATCCTTCTGCCAGGCTTGGAGAATTCCCTACAAATCCATTTCCCACAATGAAGACTCAATTTGAAGGCTAAACCAGCAGTTAAAAAAAAAAAAACAACAAACAACCAAACATTTACTGATTTCTCAGTGGAATATCTGCCTAAAACAGGTCATACTTTCAGCTAAGGGATGATTTACTACTATTTGTACCCCTGTGGTGACACCCTGAACCAACTGCTCCACATTCACTCTTTCTGGAGGTAACAAATTCTGCTTTAAGAAGTTTGACATGAAAAGTTTGTCACGCCTTTAGGAACAGCCACAAACACGGATTCTGGGACTTTTTGCTCAGTATGCATCTTAAATTTCAGAGAGCTGAAGTTGTCTTTTATGTGATAAATGAAACCACAAACAATTGTGGCTTCAATTGAACTGGACATAAGGCACTACTGATTCTTGCCCAAGAGGAAGAGATCTGATTTTTATGCAAAAAGGTCCTAAGCAAACCCACAGCCCTCATTCCTCTCACAAAACCCACAAACTGAGAGCAAACTTCCCATAAACAGTTCTCCTTCCAAGGAATGACTCCTCCTTTCCACATCCCACTCTTCTACCTGGAGAAGGAATGAAATGCTCCTGTTCCCAACACCTTCCTCTGGATTTTCACCCCCAGAAATGACCTGCTCTCAAATTTCACAGGGCTGTCAGCCATGCAGCACCAGTGGCAGAGCAGGACACAAAGAAAACAATAATTTCCCCCAAATTCTGTCAAGCACTTGGTTCCAAGCCCCAGGACAACCTAAGAGAGACGCAGCAGCTAAATTTTAGTTACAGAGAAATTACTCCTCATATCATGCTTTCCTAAAGCCCCCTCTGAATATTTTCCGTCTAAACTCTTGGATAAAATATCTTTAAATATTTCCTTTCCACTCCTTTTTTAATTTTTGCTCTGTATCATAAATGATGATGTGATGATGATGATTAAGGGTTTTCTGAGCATTTCTTTGACTTGCACCTTCACTCAAAGCTTTGACAGAATAAATAAATTCCTTACACATTATCCCACTTGTTTTACATACCCGCAGTAACTGATTGGCTGTAACTGATATTTAGAAAAATTACAGCTTTCATTTCTGTCAGGGAGAACATGGAAAAACTGTGCTTAATCAGAGAGTGTTTTCCTATTGCTTTCCAAACACAGAAATTCACTCAGCAGCACTGGATGTGCAAGTCCTACACACAGAAACAGAATTTTAACTCACCCGAAGTGAAAAGTAGTTTAACTCTCCCAGAATTAACTCATCTAAGGATAGGTTTACAGTCTGACAGAAATTAAGTTACAAAATAAAGGTGACTAAAGCATAATGACACCGTAAATAAATAATGAAGGTGCTTGAGGTTGTGTCAGAAATTATGATGTGTTTTTGCCACAGAGTATTTTCTGGAAAGAACAAAAAAGCACCTATTTCTGTGTGCTGCTCCATTATTACAAATATGTCACACAATTCCAACCATTTACTCTCCTGAGTGTATTATTTCAAGTTATTTTTCCCCATAGATTTTAGGCAAACTTCTTGATTTCACTGCTTCTGACACATCCTGAACCATTTAAGAATTGTTAGATGTGTGCAATTCTCAAGCTAATTTCCCCCATAATGTTCATGTGCTTATTGAGCTGATCAAAGATATAAACACATAATCAAGGACGGGGGTTTTTACAAATTCCTAAGAAAATAGGGGTTTATATTTTAAACAAAGCTTCAAGTACTGGTCACAATAGAAAAATTAATTTTTACTCTAAGAACTTCCTTCACACAAAGTTCCAGGAACAGGGACGCTGAACGTCCCACGATCATATTGGCACGGAAAAAAATAACATTATTGTGCAAAAAAATAAACTGATATGTGAAGTTAGGGTTAATTTCTGCTCCAAGTCCACTGAGCAGGAATATTACTGGGGGATTTCAGGCGAGCATCCAGCTGGAATTCCCTGCTCCAGCAGCCTCTGCTGGCCTCTGCTGGCTCGGGAACCTCCTGGACACCTCTGGGAGCAGCCCAGGGCAGGGAAGCCCCAAACTGCAGGACACAGCTTTCCTGGGAAGCCTGGAAGATGCTGCTCTGAGGTTGGATTCTGGAATGCCAGAAGCTGCAGCTGTTCCGTGCTGGGGCTCTGACAGGATCTGCAGCACACCGTGGTGGAAAATCTGCATTTCACAACCCACCAGCGACAAGCTTTGGGAATTTAGGAACTAAACTGCCCGCGGGGTGGCACAAATAAATTCTGAAGCTGTTCTTCATCAGGTTTGGGCAGGAGAGCTGATGCCAAGTCAAATTTTTTATGAAGTACAGAATCCCAGAAGGGTTGGGAAGGGATTTTAAGGATTATCCATCCCATCCCTGCCATGGCAGGGACACCTTCCACTGTGCCAGGCTGCTCCAGCCCCAGGGTCCAACCTGGCCTTGGGCACTGCCAGGGATCCAGGAGAATCCCCAACCTCCTCGGGCACCCTGTGCCAGGGTCTCCCCACCCTCCCAGAGAACAATTTCACCCTAATATCCAGCTTAATCCTGTTTTCCTTCATCCTAAAGCCATTATTCCCTATAAAACTGTGTAGTTTTTCTCCCAATCACACTTTCCAAGTGTACATTCCCTAAGGCAAATATGTTCATTTCTTTCTCTAAGTAAGAATTAAATTCCTCATCCCAACCAAACAGCTTGGTGACAAGAGAGCTACTCAGTATTCATCTACAAGTTTAATATTTATAGGAAAAAAATGTTTCTACCTCTATGTTAAATGGTAAAAAAATGTAATTTCAATGCATACTAAAAAAAAAAGTCACCAACTGCACCAACAGACACTACCCAACACCTCTCACTAATAAATTCTCCACACTCCAAAGCTCAATTGAAATCTTTTAAAGGGAACCAAGGAGAGACTGGGAATTTCCAAGCACTCATCCTGTACCCAGGGGCACACCAGGAGAATTCTGATTTGTCACACTGAGAGTGGCACTGAATGAAAAAAAAAGCTCTGAACAAGAAGGGAGATGCAGAGGACAGTAATCCCCAAAATTCCCAGAAATCCAAATACAGCTACTGCACACTCCAGACCCTCACTCCCCCACTCACCAGCACAAATTGTGATAATTGTTCCAGAAAGAAGGACGAGCAAAAGCTGTATTTTATTTATGATTTCACATCTGCCTTCTGTAATTTTAAGAGTTTGGTCAGGTGCGTGCAGAAACTGCTCTGTAACAGAAGTTTGCTTTTGCTGCTTAAATTTTTTTTTTAATTTCATAATCATTAAGTTTCACTTTTCCCCAGCGCTCACTCAGAGGTTGAGATTGAACAACAAGGAGGGAAGAGGGAGACAAAAACCAGCTGCATCTGGAGCCTTCTCTGCTGTAGTATAAAATAACACAAAATTACAGCTCCTGATGGAGAAGATTTTATTTGCACCTGGGCTCTGTCAAGCAATGAGAGTTCTGCACCAAGCACACCCAGCTATAAAGGTTCAAAATAAACCCAAATCCGAGAGTTTATTCTTACAATCTGTTTATACGGATAGGATTTGGATGTAGGTTTTGTATTTTTATCTGCATGCTCGTGTACACAGATAAATGCAATTCCACTGGGCAGATTTGGGAGCTGCTCTTTCCTACCAAGCTCCAACGATGGGCCTGAAACTCCCCATCAATGGAATTCTTTGTCAAGGCAAAATTAACGCGCAGCCTAAATTCATTTGGTTCCTATTAAATTACATTTTAATTTGGTTCCTATTAAAAACGTGGAGACGAAATGAAACGAAAGCTAAAAATACAATGCCAAAAAAGCAAATATTTTCCATCAGCTCCCTCCTCCCTTGTGAGGGAAAAGGAGATTATTTGAACCATGATGCTCTACCTGAACACTCAATATTGGGATCAAAACTTTGTACTTGTGAAGCAAGGCCAAATATTCACTTTCTGGAGACGCAGAGAATTATTTCAAACCTTTTTTCCCCTCCTTTGTATAAAATCTAATGATTTCCAGTTAAATGAACTGTCTCTATTTTTGAGAACTTTCCAGTTGATGCACTGATTTATGTATTATCAGCTGATGGAGTGATTAAATTATATATATATATTATAAATATATATGATCTATATACATATATCTATACATTTATATATTTATGCTTGTTTTTTGAACTGCAAGCAAGCAAGGATTACACAGGCATAAAGCACCCAATTTTTAGAGGAGCCTGTCTGAAGCAAAACCAGACATCACACCT